TTTCACAACCACACATTAAAAAAAAAAAAGCCCAAACGCGTAATAGTTAAAAAAAAGACTAATCGGCATCAACAGAAATTCCTTCAGAGATTGCCAAAAAAAAATACATATAAGATACACTGCCGAAAATTTTGGAAAAAAAGTGTCTTATACAGGGCGGAAAATCACTGGTATCGAGAGATATTTCTACAGCTGCATTCGGCATTGGCGCCCTTGCAGTTGGCCGTAATAATTGTTACACAACAAATCTTGAAAACTAGTTTTACTTCAATAAACGTCGGTATACTTTGAAATAGCCAAACTCCTGGATGCATAAAACCTTCAGCTGCTCTCTCCATCCTGTGAAATCTCCAGGCTCACATCTTTTACTGTTATCAAAGCACAACCCCTTCTCCCTCTTAAGAAACACAAGTATGGTATGGTCCAAACTGAAAACCGGAACAGTGTTTTTTGTCGTGGTCATAAGTACACATTGTACTGAACGAACCTTGACGAGATGAACAGGAAACTCCCTTGTGTCAATAGTCCAAGATAAAATAAAAAATAAAACTGAATTGGTCCTTTTTAGGGCCACTAGCCCTGTGATCTGACAAACTTTATTCATAAAATACCATCTGTTTTTTTTGCCACTGTGAATTTAGAAATTTCGAGTTTTCAGATCAATTCAAATTACCAAAAAGTTTACCGGCGAGCGTTTTTCGGAGTTTATCGAAATTATCCAAAAACAGAGAACCTTAGGTGTAATATAACTCTGCTAAGGCAGTGTTTTGTTTGCACAGTTTATTGCTATGCTCAGCATTTTTCTTGTGGTAGACGTCTATGAAGCCTAGCCCACAGCTACAGGAGGCATGTTCGGTTTATTTTCATCAATGCCATGCTCTAACATAAAGCAGTGTTTCGTCACTATTTGTGCAGGAAAATTTTGTTTATGTCAACATCTTAATTGCATCTAAGTAGTTGTGGATTAGTATTGTGGTGGATTATGGTTCGAGATATTGGCTTTTCAAAATAGTATTGGCAACATCCTTATGTCTAGAAAGGTATAGTGCGGCAGACTTCAGTTATCATACATTTACCAACAAAGGGAGTGCTGTGACTCTTCTGGAATATTTTTTTTTTATTCCTGGAGAAGTATAAGGCAGTCAACCTTTGCAAAATAGCATCTTGACTCAAGGAATTTTGTTCTAGCGAGGAGCAATGAGGTATGTTGTCTTGGGTTTCTGTTTTCTCATGTTTTAGCAAATGTAAAATTCTACATATACTTTCTCAACAAGATTGTTCGTTTTGATTTTCGTCTAGTTTGCCAGGGAGCTGACTAGCTGAGCTAGCTATCATACTTTGTGACAAACAATACTTAACTCATTACAGTATAAAGTTGGGCGAGAGAAACCCTTGGGGGAAATTCTCATGAAAGATTCTGGAGCAGTAATGAAACTAAAATTGAAACCGTATAAAGTTGTGCGAGAGGATCCCTCGGAAATTCTTACGAGATTCTGGAGCAGTAATGAAACTCTAAAATTGAACTATATATCTTTCATGTGGAAACTGATGCTTCAGTTTTAAATGTCACAACTGTAATGGACATTACAACATATTAGAATATTTTTTGTTTGCCCGAATGAAACTTTAAACTTTCTTCAAGTCAAACCGCCTGGATATTCAAAAATTGAAGAGAGTCCCGAGATGAGAAACTGGTTTCTCAACTGCATTCCTAGGAACTCTGGTTCTCCAAAGTACCCCCCAGGTTTCCCCGAGGCCTAAAATTTCCTTGGTTATTCCTGCCCCTAAGTAAAATTAAGTTCTACTTTAAGTACTATTTTAGAAGACTTAGCCATTCATTGATGCTTAACTGTTTACGACAAGGCAACAAGGCACCACTTAAAGGGGTATGGAAACAAAAATAGAAATATTCAAATTTCGTTCTGAAATAAGTTAAGCATGACGGATAATAACCGCAAATGATAATCACGCATTTGTATTTTGAACGACTGGCTATATTTTTCGTTTCAAACGGTGCACTCGAGCAAGCGCACGAAGAGAAGCGAACGAAGAGCGCGATGCGTCATGGGGATATCCGGCGCAAACAAAAACAGAAAGAAAGGATTTCCCGCATTCGTGACATAGCAAGGCTGGCGTGGTTATGAGCTTCGCCCGTGGTGGCGTTGTCAGCGTTGTGGTGGTGTCAATAGCGTCAACGTGTTACAGCCGAGCCGTTCAAAATACCTGTGGGGTGACGAGCTTGTGGCTGGCCCAAGGAGCACGTAGCTTCCACAGCACTGTCAGCTTAGGGGTGAACGGGGTGGGAAAAGCATCATTTGTCCGAGTTTTGAGTGACGGGCTAATCTTCTAGGGGGAGGATGGCTGTATCCGGGTGCACAAACGAGGGTCCGAGAAAGAGTCCCTCCTTTCCGTCTTCTTGGACTGTTTGGTGCAATGCGCGATTTGTGAGTTGAGGAGGGAAGCTATGAAGGAAAATGTTGAATTCCAAAGAGCGGCGCTGCTCTGAAGGAATCAGCTATGTCACGACTATGTAGCAAGTTCCCCAACGTTGCTAGATCACCTCCCAAATAGGCTCCGCATGCATCCACCAGGTGCACATTGAAAGATCGTTTTTTTTTTAGCTTTAAAATTAGTTTTCTTGTGCCTGTCAACGGAAGACTGGTGTTTTTGAGGTAAGGGTGCAACATGCAACACATTCAAGCTAGAAAATGAGCGCTGGAATTTCGTTTCTCTACCCCTTTAATAATCTGTATGCAAAATTCCTGCCAGCTATTATCATGGTGCCATTTGGAGACACTGTATTGGAGGGTAATGCATCAATAAGATGCCTTTGAGGTCAATAAATTAAATCTTTCATCCGTGATTGAGGTGATTCTGCATTCAACTTGGTTTGAACGATGTTAGGACAATGTGTTCGTACATTGTACGGGTTGTTATTTAGTTTCGGTTCAATGAAGAAAAGAGTGTCGACTGCGAGATTGGGGAAACTCGTCACCAAAGCAGTGAACCGGACCATCCGGTTTGGAGTGGACTGGCATCATGTGATCATATTTTGGATCTACGACTCCCACTTTGCGGGTTCCCCCCCCAATATGGCGGAAACTTCATCATTGATCATAAGCACACTAGGTGGCACTTCTTTTTGCATATGGTCTATTCTGCCGTTACTGGGAGGGATTCCTTGGCTGTCAATTGGGAGATGGGCATTCCTCGAAATCGGAGAGTTTGAAAACCCCTGCTTAAAGGGATACTGCAACGAAATTTCAGCGCTTATTTATTGGTCTATTCGTGTTCAAGGGAGCAGTATAACATCAGACACACCAATCTCCAGTTGAAAAAGACGCGAAAAGGAATTTTAAAATGAATTAAACGATTAACAAAGCACCTGGTGGATGTCGCTAACGTTTCGTTTGTAATTCCCGTCTAGGAACCTTGACAGGTAGTGATGACGCCTGTCTCGGCTCCGGCCACGAGGAAAAAAGAGTGAAAGGACGAACTCCCTCCTCCCCGAGACTCTCTTTTATGTGTCCCAGACGTCGCTATTGTCCCTCTACAAGATTATAGAAGATTAACCCTTCACTCGAAATTCCGACAAAAGCAGCTTTGGGGTTAGTTGCGGTGGGCCGATTGCTGGCGTGCTTCGGCAGCTTCAATGACTGGAACAGCTGGGCCGCTAGGACATCCTCTCAATGTCAGCCTCACCGCAGCTTTGCTCGTCCGGAGACAATATACGTCACGATGGAGGTGGATGTCACGTGCTCTCCGCTGGTTGCTCTCCAAGCGCTTGCCAGAGTAGGCCGTTTATAACAAAAAACACAGTCATCAGGCTCAAAACACAAACGTAGTATTGTCATTTACGGATATTATGGATCATATTCAGCCTGTTTCTGAACAGGGCGGGTATATTTCGAATTTCGTTGAAGTATCCCTTTAAGTCATTGGCCGACCAACAAGCGGAAAGGTGGAAACTCTCAATTCCCCCTTTCCATTCGGAAAAAGAGGGAGACCCTCCTCCTTTCTGCAAGGAGTAGCTCAGAGACCCGCTCCTGAGGGGAGAGGAGGAGAGAAGAGTGCAAGAAGGAATGGAGAGAAGGAAACTGTGAACCAGTTTTCTTCCCAACTGAAAACGATTCTGTAGGTCGACCTTTAAATAAACTTGAATAATTCAGGTATATTGTAGAATAACAGGGAACGTGCAGGCGAGGTGGTGGACTTTCACATTTGCAGTAACGTAAGGGTGCTACTTTGGGATGTTCTTGTTTCTTTTTTCTAAAGTAGGGATCTCCAAACTTTTTGGATAAAGGGCCGGATTACTGATCTGTTGCACTCTCGAGGACCAGGGAAAAAAGAATAATTATAAACTATGAAAAACTAAGTAAACACACTTTGATAAGCATGCAAACAGAGAAATAGATATATATACATATATATATATATATATATATACACACACACATACACACACACTTGAAATTGAAAGTTAATATTGAGCTAATTGTGATATTACACAATACCTGTGACCAAGAAAACTTGCTAGGCATTCGGCACATTCGTGCTGTGCAAAAGTCTGATGAGAGATTAAACTAATACTGCAATATGCAATGGTTGTGACAGAGGACACTAAGCGCAATGTACATGAGAACGCAATGGAATTTGAACATAGTTACACCGACATGAAGCAGAGGACTAAAAATGGTAATGCTACTAATGACAGTGTTCAATTAATGAGATGGCAAGGGGACCCGTGTTACGATGCAGTTTCTCGTTCCTTCTGGTCATGATTTTGCGCATATATAGCGCGTCGCAGCACCGTTTCTTCACGCGCGCTTCTTTTTGTGCCACTAGCAGCGGGTCTGCTAATGCGGGCCGCGCGCTGGGCTTCATTGGAAAGACCGCGGCCTGCCGCGGGCCGCTCGGAAGAGTTCCGCGGGCGGGGGTTGAAGACCCCTGTTCTAAAGAATCACTTTAGCAAGGTCGCTGCGGTGAAATCAGAAAACGAATACAGTTGGCAAGTTTTGTTTTAATGTACATACACAATATAGAAAAGCATTGATTCTTTTTTTAAAAACCACAAAGTTCTTTCTTTTTCTTTTTTTCATGTACAACCAGCCGTTCATGTTAAAATACAGTGCTTTCACAATTAAGAGTATTTTTTAGCTCGTAGCATGAGAGTTGCACTGAGAGTTTCAGGTGTTGTGTTGCTCATTTTCACACCCGATGCACCTCTGCTGCTTTGAGAATGGCGCATAACAATGAAATGAAGTCATGAATATCCTCACTAAACCATATCCCTGATGCAAGATTTCAGTTTTATACAACACGCACTTGAAGCCCGTTCTGGAGCTCAATTCAGTGAAATCCTATACAAGTGCTTATGTTCGGGAAGCACCAGGATCCTTCTTGATTGGTGTGCGAACTGTGAAGTACAGGCATAAGTATACAGCAAAATCAAAGGTATCACTGATACAGGTGACATCGCAGCAGATTTCTATAGCATCCCATCAACGAGTCATTTACTGAGCTGTAGTTCCTCATCTGTGTCATGCTAGTGTTTGACGAGAGTGGACTTGCAACCTCACGCACAGTCGAGCTTTTCACCCTCATTCACTAGAAAGTTGACACTGTTTAGTTTCACTAGAAAGTTGACATTGTTTAGTTTCCCTAGAAAGTTACCGTTTTTAGTGTTCTAAATTCTATACACATTAATGCAATGCTCTCAGCTAGGGAATGTGGCTACCCGAGAGCCGCTAGTGACTCGTGGGGAAAAAGATATATTTAAGTGTTCAAATTGCATTCGAATTTAAATAAGCCAGTGTGCCAGCCTCCTTTGTTTTTGCTTGACCATAATCAGACACACATCTTTACAAATACAAAGGACTAAGCAAAAGCTACTTCTGGTGTTGATGTTTACTTTGTCACTAAAAAAAAAAAAAAAAAAAAACTTGGGTATATGTTGGAAATGCTAAGCTAATGTACAAACACAAAAACACTTGATTTCTTTTTCTTTTTTTTCGAAATGAGCCAAATCCATGTTAAGTGAAACTGAGATAACCAGGGATGTGTGTTTATCGGACTAGCTCTGAGCCCTGTACCACGGCCACCTTTACATTGTTTTTTCTCCCATAATATGACCGATTTCAGATTAATACCTTTATTTCAGCCGAAATTGGCTTAGTTTCAATTTCTGGATTTGACTCATAAAAAAGAGAGGAAAAAAAAATGAGAAGAAAAAAAACTTTTTTCTTCTTTTCTTTCATTATCTTGCGGTAAAAGAAGAAAAAAAAAATAAAAAAATGCGCAGTGATGGATGTCCCCCCGACCCCGTGGATACACTCTGCAGAAGTCTTTTGAGTGTGCACCGCCAGATGCCCCTGTCCAGAAGCTCTGAAAGTTCAGCCTTAGCTCAGTGCACTGTTCCTCAAAGCTGTATCGACGAAACGGGCGCATTCTTTCTTGTTTTGGCACTTCACTGATAGCATTTTTTTGCCGGCAACAAGTTGCGGCCGCGTCGAACGCAGTCAGTGTGGAGCGCCGCAGTATATTTGTGGAACCTCTTTGTGGACGCACGTAGGCCTCGGTGACTCCGCCGTCGCTAATGCGGCTGTGACTGCGCGCATGCACAAGGAAGTTTGCGAATGCTTGTTCAAGCTGCAGAAGGGCAGGCGCGCTTTGCTTTGCAGCCACCCTCGGTAGTGTTGTGTCCATTTACCGGTGGTGGTACTTGCTATGAGCGGGCGCGACGTGGTTCTGACCCACGTAAATATCGACCTCGTTGTCTTTCCAGTTTTCCGTCCGACCATTCCATTCTGCCTCGTACTCGTTGAGTGAATGCAATGAGCTGGCCGAGGCGAGGCGCCCGTTGTGCGCCCCTCGCTTCTTGCCGTTGGCCAGGAGTCGTCCTGGTGGCCCAGCGTGTGCATCGAGGAATGAATGGTTTCCCGAGAGAGCCGACAGCGACTGCTGCGACTTGCGCACTTCCGGGTTGCCTAGACCTCCTCGATATTTGTTGGACATCTGCGAGTAGGATCGGTGTGATTGCCCATCGGCTGTAGAGCGTGCTTTGGCGGAATAACCGTTAGGTACATGCGAGAAGTGGGAGATGTGGGATCGGTTGTCGTCCATGACGAAGCTCTGGTTAACGGAACCATTGACATTGTCCACGTGGTACATGCGCGCGCGAGGGATGCTGCGACTGCTGTACATGGACACTGTCTCCCACTCATGATCCGAGGTCTTTATGGTCGGATGCACAGTGGACGTTGGTGGTGGGAGTCGGGATTTGGAGCTGCTGTCGCGGCCCTGCTTTTTGCGCCAACAGCAGAGGAAAATGATGACTGCCAGGATGATAATGCCACAGACAGCCGCCGACGAGGCGATGATGATCTTGTCGAGGTGTGCGATGACGTACCGTTCCAGCTTGAGCTCCTTGCATTGGGACGGAAGTACGCTCTCGACAGATATGTCCTGGGAGTCCTGCAAGCTGACTACGCACACCAGGAGGCACTCGTTGGTGGGAAGGTTCTGTAGAGTGTGCTTTCTCTGCTCGGGCCGCAGTGTAGGCCCGCGTCGGAAGGCCCTTTCGCCGAAGAGCCGGTAGACGACCTGGACGCTCAGAGAGGACTCTGCATACCACTCAATGACGACAGCCGAATCTTTCCTCTGGGCATTTACAATGCGGGGCTCTACGGGAACCCTGCTGAGCGTCGGATCCTCACTCCGTGGCGCTGACGCCACAGGCCGCAAGCGTTTATTGCCGCTGGACCTCTGGGACGGTACTGGTGCGTAGGTGGTCTCGGGAGGGAAGGTGACGGCCACGGGCGTCGACTTGCTCGACGACGGGGATACTTCTTCGTCGGTTGTGGTCTCCTGCACAGGTGTCGTGTTGACGACGCTCGTTGTAGGCACTGGCGTCGAGCTGGTTGTAGTTGGGTCCACTATTAGCGTCGCTGTGACTGGGAAGCTGTCGACATTTTCGGTCGCTGGTGGAAGTGGCGTAGGAGTGGCGAGGGGGGTCGTCACTGATGGCGTGGTCGTAGTGACGTTACAAATAAATTCGGACGGCTCGATTTGCGCGAACGTTCTACGCTTCAGGTGGTCCGGTTTGCCACAGTATTGGGGGTTCCTTTCTCGGCTGGTCACCTGGAGGTCCTTGTTTGCTATCCACTCTGCGATCCAGCGTACCTGACAGTCACACTCCAAATAGGGACCTGAAAAGATATGTTTTTTTTTTTTTTTTGTTAGCACACCATACACTTTTCGTACCATATGTTTCTACCTGAGATGGAGCGCAACTCGCGCCCTCTAGGTGTGCTGCTGAAAAAGTCCGCCTCGTTCGGCGGATCTTTCCCTGGTCCGGGACCTCTCCAAGACTCCTTTCACCCCTAAGCTGAGACTGCGGTGGAAGCTACGAGCGCTTTGAACTGGTCATGCGTCGATACTTCGCCACGTGATCACGCTTTCGCTCATATTCACGCGCGGAGAGCTGGGTCAGGTGATGAAAGGGATGCGGTTGATTGATCCGGCAAGGGGTGAACGGAGTATAGCGGAGCGCTCTACAAATCCAGCTTACCAGGAGTTCGCCGTCAGTAGAGCAAACGGATGTTAACACCAGTTCCTTTTAGAAGGAACGGAGGAACGCCGCCGTTCCCTCTTGCGTCGGTGGAACGCGAGTAAAAACTCGTCACGTTTTCAAAAGTAAAAAAAAAAAAAAAAAAAAAAACGGCGTATTTTTCTTTTTTGTATCTTTATTGTCTATATATGTGCAATTTTACCCGAATTTGGTAGGCATTTAGGCTTTTTGTTACGGGAGCGCGTTTTTCGAACTATTAGAGCTTCTACCGGGAATTCGTTTCAGGATTAGATTGAGAAGGAACGAAGAACGAGCTTCTGTTCCTGTTTTGGAGGAACGTGCACAACGCTGTCTCCTGGTTAGCTCATTTGGTAGAACGTTCCGCTAGTCTTGGAGAGGTCCCGGGACCGATGCCTAAACCAGGCGATTTTTTTTTTTCATCGGGCCTAGAGGGCGCAAATCGTGCTTTATCTCAGGTGGACGTCACTTTATCCTTAGGTGTATCTTCTCCACTTTGGCGAGTTCCCCAAGAAAATTAACATCTGCTCTGCATCACCATGAGTGCCAGCGAAGCCGATGCTACAAGCACGAGCATGGTGCCTTGAACGGGCGTGTGCTCGCTCTTGTATCTTCTCCCTCGCTCGCACTTGTGGTGAAATGGAATAGAAAATCACTTCTTTCGTAATAACGACGAATCAGCGTGGAAGTAGACACAGTGAGAATACATAAACATACTATATATATATATATTTTTTTTTTTTTTTGCTGTATGATTTGTTACGCTGCCAGGGGAATCCAATGTCCAGTGAATCGTGCACTTCGTTCAGGATCGGGAGAGCAGCAGGGCTGTCGCGAGATCACGATCTCTGATAGCCCGCCATGAAGCGGTTTGCTGAGCATACGCAGTTCTCGGCTCTGCTGAAGTACTGGTTCGTAAAGCACAAATAATTTTTTTACTCGCGATTTTTTTTTTTATAATTAAGAAATTATTAAAATAGGGATGAGTGGATAGATATCGTTCCGGATCGAATAGTGCAGACTCATCTAGCTTCAGGACTGTAAAGAGAGCCGATATACCGTGGCTTTCCTTTGCGTTGTAGAGGCTACGAGTGATGCAACGCTATTCGCACACCCCTGGATTCAAACTGAATTCCCCTTTCGCTCTCAACTCGCGAGTCGTCGCTTTTCTTCTCCAACTTGACAAACGTTCACGTGTATGCGACGTCATACTGCGGAATTGAGGCAGCTCCTGTCGTGAAAAACCAGCGAATATATGTGGTCTTCATGTTAGGCAATCTTTTTAGACGGACTCGCGGGACAGTGAGCGAGAGAGCCTCGGGGCTTCAGCAGTAATAATCGGGGGAAAAGAAAAACAGCCTTGCAGTCAATAGGGAGTTTTAGTAGATCGTGCCGATGATTCCAATAACGAGACCCCGATACTCCGCCGACCGACGCCTTTGCGCATGCATCATGTGGTTATCGGGTATCGTTACCAGAGGTGTCGGAACAATGTACTAAAACAGGAAAACTTTCTAATATCCAGGTGTGTCATACGAGCGTCCCCGGAGCTGCGTGTGCTTGCGAAAGAGCTGCTCATAGACACAATACACACCTTCCTACACTATCAACTCGAGGAACAAAAGTTCCGCTTTCTGGTCTCGCATGACGCAGCGGGACAATCCTTTCAGCGGAAACTGCCTTGTTGTCGGTTATTTTGTAGTTTGATGAGTCTGGTGCGTAGTCATATAACTTGAAACGCAAATTTGTGTCAGTATTGTGCATTGATACACATAGTTTCTCAAAGCCGACACAAGGCTGTCATCGCAAAGCGTCCGTTGGCTCTGAGGGCTTTCGTTTGAGGGATGATCGAACTCACCTCCGATGCTGATTCCTCTAAGAGTGGAGTTGAGATGCCTGAATGGCTCCAAAGGGATTGTGGCCATGGGGTTTCCGTCCAAGGCGAGCAGCGTCAGGAAAGGATTGTTGGCGAAGGCGTCGTCTGGGAGGCTTCGGATTCCGTTAAAACCCAGGTCCAGTACCTGTGTCGTTCGACACAATTAGAGTACATTCGTGACCAAATCCGGCGTCGCCCGCGCGGGCGGCAACCAACAGTATTGCGCGCACGCAAGGAGGACGCTTTTATTCTGGTTTTTGTTCTATAGTCCGAGATTGGAATGTACGCGAGTTGCATGGGTGTAGTGAGATGGATGTTCCCCCCCGAGGCTTCACGACGACTGGTCCCAGCCCTCGTGCTGTTTCCTCTCTCTACTGCTTGAAATTTCTTATTCACTTGGGCGTGGTGATTGACGACTTAGGCGCACCTTCCGCGCCGCCCTCCGGATGCTATCTATATTAAGCACGACAGGTAAACTACCGCCACTACCTGTCGTGCTCAAGTGGTTTTCTGTCCTGCCACTGTTCGCAGATTGCGTCCAACAAAGCCCATTAGTCGTTCTATCAGTGCAAGCTTTTAAATGATCCGTCCTATAACCTTCCGGCACTCTTTAAATTATGCGTTAATATCTCAAAATCGTGTTGTTTTTGTTGTGGTAGCGGCATCCAGTTACTGGGAAATTCTTTGGGGTAAAAATTAATTAGTCAGGTGGGACGGAAGAATGAAATTTTTCACGCTAATTGGCCATCCGTTTAGCCGTGTCACGAGTCAGTTGAGACCACGTAATTTTTGTTGACTTCTAATGTCCCTCACGTTGTTTCCGTGTCGGCGTAATTCGTAGAACCATCTAAAGTTGGTTCACACGTTAGCCAGGTAAAGCAAACAGCCTAAAGTTACGTGACACCTCATTGTCCTTCTGGAAGACCTTGTAAAGCGAGTCAGAGCTGTACCTTCGGATCGTCCATTAAGTATCCGAATCAGTCCATCTATCGACCGAATAAATGATTGGCCACTGCGACATGGCGTGCCAAACATTCCGCAGTGGCGTTTGGCGCTCCAGCGGAAATTGCTTGCTCGCTCTTGTTTCTGGGTGTACTCTTGGGTCGATTCGGCCTTTTTCTCAAGTTACCTTGGCCCTTCCTTCGCTCCGCGGCACTCGTTCAACTCCGCCGTTTTCTGCGTGAACCTGCCAAAGAGTTGCTGGTAATTAGCTTTGGAAGGGAAACTACCGCTCCCAGCTCGGTGGGCCGGCTCTGAGCCCGGTCGTGGAAGCCCGTGCGCAGCCCACCCGTAGTTCCTCGCTGCAGGGAAAGCTAGGTGGCGTACTCGGCGGGCGTTGTCGGGGATCAAGAGGAGCGAAACGAGCGGGGGGTGTGTCCGTTCCTTGTACAACCGGCAGGGATTAAGCATTTGGCCCGGCTAAGCCGGCGGGACAGGAGCTAGCTACCTTGGCTACGGCTCTGGTTAGAGTGCCTTCGTTTCCTCTCCCTGGAGCTTCTCGAGTCAACAAATCGGTTGGCAAAACAACAGGGCATTCCTCGGGCGCCTGTGACTAACTATAGGTTCTCCATCCGTAACTACCTCGAGGAAACGGAAAAAGAAAAAAAAGGATGATGAGTGTAGGGTTCTGTAGGAGCGGACAGGCAGAAAACCCTGGTTGTGATCTTCTTTGGTTTCCTTAGGTACGTCCTTGCCAAGCTGTGCAACGGGTTGTTACAAAGAGGCCGTGATACAAATACAAAGTAAAAGTATATTTTATGGATTTAGTGCCAAGCCATCAAAGAGCAGTTGGCACGCCCCAGCGGAGGTCTGGGGATTCATGTAGACCGCCTCGGGATGTTTTGACGTACAACCGAGAGCTCACTTACATGAAAGAACGGGATATGTTAGGGGGTGTACAAACGCTTATATGCCAAATTGTCTCTTAGAACTCGTACAGCTTCATTACTGATCTGTTTCCACGTTGCGAAAACCCAATAATCCGGTAACAAAAAGTTACAGAAAAAAAAAGTGTGTTAAGGCTAGGGCTGGGGCGCCGATTAGAACTCTAAACGCGATTAATCGCCACCCTTAAATCGATTAATCAATCGATTAATTGGTCTCCTTTATTTCCATGCATAAGATATGTATTTAAAAAAAATGCCTTTGTTTAAGATGTGACAAGCGGCGCAGTATACAATTTTGATTTCGAATCAACCTCGAAGTGTAGGCGTGGACAGGTTAGACACACTCCCAGATTATTACTCCGACTGCATGGTGCAAAGAGGTTCGTTTATATTCTCCGGCAAGAGCGGCCTCCTTTCATAGTTCACAATAGTTTGCTGCGCTAAACGGACAACCGAACAGTGTTCAAGTGGCCGGGACACGTGCAACCTTCTGCACTTATCTGGAGTTACAAATCTCGCCCCTACAGTTAACTTTACGCTAAAATTTCATTTAAAGTTTGCACTTCATATAGGTGTACTCCTCCAGGTCTGCGTGGTGAAAGCATTGAACTTTTACTTCCTTTTGGTTCGTCAAAATTTTACCAACTAACTGATTAAAAAAATTAATCACGATTAAAGCATTAGTCGATTCATCGGTAGATCAATTGGACAACACTAGTTGAGACCTTTGTTGTGTGTTTTGTCCTAATTATTAAGGCGAAAGCCGTACATGTCTCATCGTTCAGTCGACCTTTAAAGTCCTTGAGCGAAAACATGTCGGTGACACGAAAAGTACGAAAACACGTCGGTAACACGAAAGGTACCAATGAAACGGCATCAAAAGTGCGTCGTCAGAGAGCCACTGTCTTCGGAGGATCGCTATCACCGAGACCACAGCAGACGCCGCGATCCGAGTGAGCCAATGAAACGGCGCCAAAAGTGCATCGTCAGAGCGCGCTGTCTTCGGAGGTTCGCTACCACGTTTACATCCGCGCTTTCGTAGTTCATGGGCCCTAAACTCGTCAAACACAAAGTTGGGGCCGAAGTTGACGGAGCGCACCGATTGGCCTATCACGACGATGACTTCGCGTTTTTGTCGCCGACGTCCAATCAGCGCGCTCCGCGAACATCCGACTCCAACTTTTTGTTCGACGAGTTTAGGGCCCTAAGTCGTGTTAGGGATAACATAAGAGACCCTGTGAATTTTTTGTTCTCTTATCTCGGGTTTTCAGAATGCATTAAGTTCTAGAGCTTGCTTCTGTTTTCGGTGCTTTTCTTTTGATCTTTTTATTTTAAATTTTAGCACCGCTGCCAGCATGTTGCATTCGGATGCATACACTCTTATCTCATACGCACCTATCTGGGAATCTATTGGGGGAGAGAGAGAGAGGGAAGTGTTGAAAAGAAAGGGTGCCTGGCACTTATTAGAATCTATTGGGAGGATACACCATTCCAGTGTTTACAAATCTACGGCTCAGCGTGCAGTACCCATACCGAGCACACAGCATGCGCACGGACGCTGAAAATAGTCCCGGCCAGATAGACTTGGCCGTCACATTAACGCGCCTCTGAGCGACGAATACGCTCTCGCTGGTCTGTGGACATTGCACGCTGGGCTCCTACATTGCGGTGTGGAACGCGCAGCAACGTACTTAAATCATGTGAAACGTATATATACTTGGACACCTATTTTTGCCTGACTAAACCAGATATCCGTTTAAGGAAATTTCGCTGATAAAGTTGGAACGGCTGACCGATCAACATTTTTCTCATGGGAACCAAAAACTGAGGACGAACGAGGGAGGAAGCTCTTAGCACTCCGGTTATTCTTGCGAATCAGCACTAGCAGTTATTTGCAATTTAGAAATGAACCCGAAAGCATATAACTTTGTCTTTTCTTGTCGTCCATAGTCTTGCGTTTCATTGCTCGCCTGTGTTAGCCGATAAGGGAACGGAACCGAGAGTATCACTAGACATGAGCTAAACACGTTCACGATCACTCGGTGCATAGTAAATGTATACAGCTGCTGAATTGAGGAACTCTGCAAACGGAGCTAGAATGAAAGAGAGGAGCCTACCCTGAGCTCGGTGAGCGTGGAGAGCGCCTGGGTCGGGAACTCCACGAGCAGGTTGTTGAGCAGCGACAACGAGCTGAGTGTGTCGTTGATGCCGCTGAACGCTTCCCTGTCGATCTTGAGGATACGGTTCCGTTCCAGGTTGAGCGCCGTCAGCGTGTGCATGCTGCCCAGGTCCTCGGGTGCCACGGTGGCGATCTTGTTCTGAGCGAGGTCCAGGAAGGCGAGCGACGTCAGCTTAGACACCGCCCGGGGCACGCGCTCCTGGCCCGTGCCCTTGAGGTTGAGATTCTTGAGGCTGGGCTCGAGTCCCGCGAAAGCTTCGTCCAAGATAGTCAGCTCGTTGTCGGCCAACTTGAGCGTGTTGAGTGGCAGGCTGCTGAAGGCATTGTCTGGCACGGTCTTAATGGCGTTACTGGACAGGTCCAGCTGTCGAAGCGAGCTGAGGCGCCGCAGCGCTTGGACGGGCACCTCGGTGAGCTGATTGTCCGGTAGGCTGAGACTCGCCAGACTTTTCTCGAGCCCCTGCAATGCCTTATCGGACACTTGTTTGAGCTGACAGCGGGCCAGGTGCAATGACTGGATGTCCAGCTTGGAAAATAGTCCATCTGGCAGTGAGTCTACGGTGCTGTTGTTGACGTGGAGCAGGTCGATAGGCACATTCTGGACGGACGCGTGCAAAGCGTTCATAAGTCGCGGAAAGTTGACGGGGCTGCACTGGATCGAAAGTCTCTGGGCGCTGCTGTAGGCACAGATGCAGTCAGCGTGTAGGTCCACCAGCTCGCGAGACCAGGGGCACTGGCCACGGGCCACTGGCACTAGAAGCACGAGGGACAGGGCCACCAAGCCCCACGTTCGGTCCGGTTGACTCCGTCGGGGCCTCGGAAGCATGACTCCTGCAAAGGGGAAGACCAAGAGGACGGCCGACGTGAGCTGCCGAGAAGACATGGCCGAGGCATGAACACGCGGGTAGTTAATGTATGGCTATGTCGTCTACCTGCATTCAGCTACTGCGGCGCTACCAAAATGAAAGAAGGCGGGGCTGTAGACGCTCAGAGTTGCCGATTGTTGCCGTGCCAGGCATCCCAGAGTCATTATTATTGGTGCGCGCGGTACGGCTCGGAAATTACGGTGCTTGACGCAACGTGAAACACAGGAGTAGAAAAAAAAAAAAAAAAAAGAGCAGATGACAGTGGGAGGAATCGCATCGCGTTTTCTATCGTCTCTCTCCGTGGTCTCTGGCGCTCGCGAGAAGTTGGCGTCACCGAAATTCAGCCCGGCGTCGGGAGCAACATGACGCCTCTCCCCCGTCGAGAAGTCGACGGCGGCGCGCCCATGTGGCGCTCGGTTTAGCTTACCTTGACCCGAACTGCGCGCTGATAGGGTGTAAAAGGCGTCGGCGCTGGCGGCCCAGGTTGTTTTTCGGCGCTCTCTCGAGACGTATCGGTTCCTGCTTCAGCGATCCAGCGCGGGTAATTCGGCCGAATTGTCGTTCCGACTGGCACTCGTGTCAACCGGTCCTTCTCTTCGACGTGCGTCAATGCGACTCGGAGGCATTCCTGGCCGGACACAAGTCCTTCGCGTTTCATGTCGGCCAGTTAGCGTGCCCTCTCGCGAACAGGCAGGCGGTCGATCAACTGCGCTCTCCAAGGTCGCAGCTTGCACGAAGACGTGCGCGCACAATGGCGGACCAGGTGGAGGGGCATCGCTGCCGGACCCGTGTCTCTGAGCTCCCGAGGTCAGGTGTGTTCACGTCTCTGCGCCGGACACGACCGCCGCAGGAGCACGCTATAAAAACCCGGGAGCGCACTCGGCAACGGTCGCGCGGTGCCCGAGATCCGACCGTCTGTCCGTTGAACTTTCCCGGCGCCCGAGATTCGGTGAGGTACCGGCTGACCGTTTCATCTGGGGCCGCGAGAGACGCTTCCTTTGTGAGAGATTTTCAAGTTCACCGGCTTCCTTTTTCCGGTGAAAAGACGCGATAAGTGTCGGTTGTCGGGACAAAAGCGCTAACGCGCGGCAGCGCAGGATAGAGCTAGTTGGCCGCCCGCGCGCGTTGCTCTCTCGGGAACTCGTGTTTTGTGGGCGGTGGAGGGAAGCGTACGCGGAGTGGTTTTCTTGAGTTCCAGGAATTCCATGTCGCTGTCGTCATCGACAGACCAGCTCTAACGATGCCCCGCGGTGGTAGTGGCCCGTCTGGCCGGAATAGATCCGGTACGTTCTTCGAGATGCCGTCCCATGCCGAGTGGAGAGCCACTAATGAAGTCAGCACGTCCCGCTGCAGCCCAAGGGCGGCCTGGTTACCCGAGTACGGAGCTGTGGGGAAACCCCATCCGCGAGTACTCCGACCCGCAGGACTGCCATTTCCAGCTCTAATGCGCCAGCATTGGTAGCTATGTTTTTTGTTTTATACACTGCACGCCCTCCAGCTCTCTCAAGACGTTAGTCGGTCGGGATGTCGCCGAGTTTGGTTCGATTATGTTGGCGATGCATCTCTCCGAATTGACATCGGGTACCCGCGTTGTGAATGTGACGAATGCCTCGTAAGAATGCTTTGGGCATCGGTTGCCTCCCCTTCCGTTGCCCCCACTCCCCGCCTTCTCTTTGATTGATTGAGTCTTCTTAGGCGGAGGCACGAATTGAATTACGAGGGCCCATGTATCGCTGCCTCAAGTGAAGCCGAACGTTCCTCGCCCGAAGGATCTCCTCTCCCAGCTGCCAGAAGGCTCGTCCTGCCTATCGCTGTTTCACCACGTCGCGTGCGCCATCGCTTATGTTCTGCCTGTCGTGCTTGTCTCCACTCGGAGGCGGCTTTGAATCCACGCTGCTCATGTCCAACCCACAGCCCCCGCTGCTCCCGAAATGAGCTTTCCTTTCCCCGCCTTTGTGGTCGCGCCTCGTTTGCCGGGACAACTTGTCTGTTGGGATTTTCCAGGAGCTTGACGCTAGTCGTTTCACCAGAAAGAAAAACACTAACGACTGGTGCCGTGTACAGAACTTATTCTGTCACGGTCTTTATCAATTCCATCTCGGTGCAACGAACGCCCGGGATCAACTTTCTCCCCAAGGTGCCTGCCGCAGCATGCTAGACTTTTGGACACATCCACTGATCGGAAATTCCTTACTGCCCAGTCAACTTTCCGAGGGAGAGGGGGCCGGTCAGGATGGTGACGACCGATGATGGTGTTCGCCCGATGGAAGTCCCCCGGGAAGTCGAATAAGAAAAGAAAAACACACTAAAAGTTGTTTGATCTCGCTGGACACATTGCGACGTTGGTTGGTTTACAGTGGCCAGTGTGGCCACGTTTATTTCAAAACAAAACGACAAGTCAACGGTAATACAGAAAACTTCCAAAATTAAAACTCATACTTTAGTCCCCAGTCTCAAGAGCCGAATTTCTCTGATCTCAAAATCCGAATTCCCCCGAGAATCCTCGCGGCACCCCTTTTCTAGACTTGTAGGGGCCTCCTTTCCCTCCAGAGACGGACCAATCACTTCAAATTCGCCCATCGTCACGTGGTACACTCTTACCCAATGATCAGCGAGCTGTCAACGTGACACCCCTCAGACACCTTAACGGTCAAACCCAAATTCCTTGTAGAGTCACTACATGCTTTCGTCGCCGCCTGGCTGGCGCCACCCAGTTAAGTTATTGCGTCGATTAAAAGCGAAGTTTCTACACTAAGCGGCGAAATACACTGGGCACAAGCACACCCGCTTAAAAGCCACAAGTGCGGACAGAAGCCCAAGACGCGAGTGTTCCGGCGCCCCAAACTGAAACCCAACCCGTTTGTCAACGACCGGGTTCCGACTCTTCTCCACCGAGCCCCGCGGCTGCTCGAAGCCGCCCGCGTGTGAGAGAACAAGGCTCCCCGTTCATGCTCTCACCCCTGCCGCGAGTCTGCGAGCAAACGCCCAAAAATGTGGACACAAACATAGGCAAATAAATAAATAAAAAAAAAAAAGAAAACAATGCCGACTCAACTGTAGAAAGATAGACTTTTCTAAAACAGATCTTGCTGATTTCAAACAAAATCCTTCGTTACACCAAACGTCCCGACACTCCAGAGGCGAACTCCGCGAGCGCGTGAACCGAAAGAGCGGCGCTGTCGCCTGTCGGGCGGCCCCCTCGCTGTAGAGGTCATCTCTAGGTGGGTGTCTTTCCCGCTGGAAGGGCCTACAATTATGGCGGAACCTCGCCGCCGGAGCTGTCATGTCAGGACGCCGGCCGCCTCGTCGGCCACCGTAATGCCAGGGCCGGCGGCGAAGGAACCTTTTGTCGGCTTGTCTCTCCTTCCGCGTCCTCAGCGCGCTCGGCTCTGGGGCTCGCTCGCCATTGTGAGCCATCCTAGGGTTGTACCGTAATGTGCCGTATCGTTTGCCCAAAGGGCTGGGCGTGTCGCGGGTAACGGGCGAGCGCAGCGAGGATCTGTTTTGGCCATTCAAAGAGGCTAGTTGCGATCGTCTCGGGATTACCGTGGCTACGGGGGTTAACGGGCGCATGGCGGCTCTCTCTCGGTGTGGCCCGAAGCATTCAGGTGCCAGGGAAGAACGCTGTTGCGGACGATTCTTTCGCCGACAATCGGCGGCCATAAGATACGCTCAGTTCGAGCAGGCAGAGGCCACCGGCGAACACCCGAGTTCTTTGATGGGCTTTCCAAGGACGTTTCTGTGGTTATCTCGATTTAGCGTTTCGTGGATCGCTTCTTCTGATTTGGCAAAATAAATACCTGCGGATTCAGGTAACTTGCGCGACTTGTGCGAAGTAAAAAAGTTTCTCGTGGCTGCCGCCGGGACACTAGACGGCGCTATCGGAACAACAACAAAAACAGATCAAATATATTTTTTTTTGTTCTTTTTTTAACATTTGGAGTCGCTAGACGCATCTTCTCCAGGCATTCACCTACAAGAATGTTACGAACGGTTGCATCTTTAGTCTGGTTACGTGTGTGCGTTTTCGCCGCTCTACAAAAATTCCGGTAGGCGTTGGTTTAGATCAGTGGAAAGCGGGGGAAGGGGGGGGGGGGGGGGGGAGGCCGCCAGAGGTGCCCCCCCCCCCCCCCCCCCCCTCTCCCACGCTTCTCTTGGTCGCTCAGAATAGGAGACGCCCGAGTACATATAGAACCTCGAGAGTATGCGTGGTTGTGTATGTCCGCGACTGTGGGCGAAAGGACGAAGAACCAAAAGGGAAACGTACGCGGTAAAAGGACAGCCGGAGTGGACGCTTCCGCCTCGAACAACTGCTTCTCGGGGCCGTTCGTGGAATGCGATGTTTCAGTCTGTCAGGGCCAGACGAACGGCGCGCTGCCTCGGGCCCTGCAAAAGTGGAAACACGCGCTGATGAAGCGCCGGCTGAGCGACCCACCGCAACGGCATAAAATGGTCGTTTGCCCCGCGCTTTCTAGCTGTTCCTTCTGTGGCGGAAGAATTAAATAAGAATATTATTTTTGCTTGTGTCTTAGCTCGACTTCTTTGCAGGCAGACTGGAGGAAAGTGCCGTGTCTCCGCGCAATGCGGCGTAGGTGTAACCGTGACGCAATGTTCGAGCCAGTCGCATAATCATGCACATTTATTTGCGGAGAAACGAGTGACACGCACGCCATACGCCGGTTCGTCCGCCCATCCATCCCCGCTACGTTTCTCATGCAAAGCGTGACGTGTAGGCGGAACGTCGCTTATTGCTGCTAAAGCTGTTGAAATCGAGGCGCACACTCGTCTGCCTCTCGGGCTGTACTTAAATTGTTTCACTTTGTCCGTCGACCCGAGGTTGACAACTCAGAACGCAGAACTCCTTAGGCCGGTTGTGAACAAGTTTAGTAAAAAAAATAGGTGTGAAAGTCTTTCGTTGTACGCGAACTTTCGTAATAAAGTTCTACCCAGTGCTCGTAGATGGTGCTTTCGGCAGGCGCACGGAAACGATTGGTTTGTGACTGTGTGTAACTGGCAACATGCACCTATCCTGGAGAAACCTTAACGCTCTTCCGAACTTCGAAACTTGACACGCGTCCTTGTTTTCGTTGCTTGTGTGTTCAGGGGCGGTTCTGCATTTTTTTTTTCCCAGCCTCCGTGGAACTGACCATTGTTGATGACAACTTCAGAGTACGCGTACTTGCAATTTCTGCAATAACAATGGAGAGGCACTCTACCGGAAGCAATTCTGGACCGTTCTCTGCTGCCTTCCTCGTTTCACCACAACTCGAGGCCACGCATTTACTAGTATAATTTGAGCACCATGGTCCATCCGCCATCACCAAGCTGGCCGCAGCTAGAGGTACTTTCTTGGAACGGCCTGTGTAAGATCGTTCACTCAGTCTGCTTTTGATAACAAAGGAGAGAGCGGGGTCTCGCTCATCCATGCTCAGAACCAATGTGCGGACGACGTCGTCGATCCGCAGGTTGTAGCTGTGACTCACTTGTGAGTGATTGCGACTGCGTTTCCTTCCCCTTTTACCTCTCCCTCCTCGTACCTGACGAATACGGTTTGGTTCAAACGTCACCGGAGTTTCTTTTCCTCACGCCGATTTCTTTGCCATTTGCGTTACACTGCGAGTGTAATTGCTCCCGCTGGGTTTCTCTCGGCAGTCATGCTGTAGTGAAGAAGCGTGACGCTCGATCAATAATATTTTCTCGGTGACGGGAGTTGAGATGAATTCATTACAAAATAAAGATATAACTGCGGGGGAAAAAAAAGAAGAGAAAAGCGATGTCCGTATTTTTATACCGCCTGTGCTTGGTCTGCCTCAACGAGCGACTTGTCTCTCAGCTGTAGATGAGACATTTAGCCAGTGCAGTACAACCGCTAGCCTGGGGTCTTTAACGAGCACCACGCACTAGTGATGCACAACCGCTGGCCGGTACGATGCCCATCCAGATCGAAACGGGCAGGTGTTGGGATTGAATCCAGGATCCCCGGATTCTGCAGCGCGAGCTTAGCACGAACAAGTGATTGTTTACTTGTTTTGTCTTCTTGGAATTGAACGGCGGCCATAGAACTACCTGCGGGGCGGAAAGTCTCGATTCGGAGCACTAACTGAAGCGGCAGAGATTGGCGCCCGTCTTTGAGAAAATTGCAAAAAAGCGGCTATATCGTGTTGGCTCTAACTGCGTTCCGCAGTGTGCCATCATGGCAATGATTCTAGCAACCATACTATGATTTCTCCGTGTTTTCGGGCGGTATACGCGTATGCATGAATTTGCCGAGTGACTACGTATAGGGCCACTCTTGCAGTCTTTCCCATAGATTTCTTCTGTCTTTGGATGAAGGTTTCATGAGATTTAGGAGAAGTCCTCAAGGTGGAGAAGATTTACGTAAGGACAAATTGGCTTCCACCTGAAATGGAGCGAAGCTCGCGTTCTCTAGACGACTGGTGGCCGCTGAAAAAGTACGCCTGGTCCGGGATTTGATCCCGAGACCTCGACATGGCTACCGCAGCTCTCTACCGACTGAGCTAACAACCAGGAGCTGGCAGTCCGTAGAACAGACGAATGTGAACATTTGCAGTCGTGATTTTAGCCACCGCAAGGGTAGGATCAGTCGACAACGATTTGATATAAGGAGATTTAGGGGAAGTCACCTAGGTGGAGGAGATTTACGTAAGCATAAATTTGCTTCCACCTCGGGTGGAAGCCAATTTATTTTTGCATAGATGAAGGTTGGACGCAGACAGTGGTAATTTAGCCGCATTTTGGCTCACAGAAGTGACTTTGGAATGGAACAGAGAATGGAAACGTCGATCGTGCAGTCCGCTGCGAACTGAAGTGAAAACTCGGCCGTTTACGGACAATGACTCGGGTTCTCGTTTTTGGCGGGCCGGCTTGTTCGTCGTGGGGGTCTTCGCAGGCCACAATAACACGAAAAAAAAAGTACCAAAAACTCCAGTTTTACTCGTTTTAGTTCACAACGCATCTGGTGCCAAATCACACGCGCGCAGGCTCCCATTCATGGGGCGATTCCGCGAACAGGTCGAGGTTCACCCCTAAGCTGACAGTGCGGTGGAAGCTACGCGCTCGTTGAGCCAATCGTATGTCTCTTTTTCGCCACGTCATAACGCACTCCCACCCATCTAGTCATGCCCTGAGAGCGGAGTCGGGTGATGAAAGGGAGGCATTTAATTGGTCCGGCGAGCGCGTAGCTTCCACCGCACTCAGTTGGGTGTGTGTATGTGTGTGTGGGGGGGGGGGGGGGGGGGGGGGGGCACGGAGTAGAGTTGTTCAAGCTCGTCCGGTCTCCGCGAGGGGCTGCACGAGAGCTTGGCCGGTCTGCGTATGCCGAGGAAGGCCGCGGTTCCTCTGTGGAGGCTACGGGGGCATTGTAGCAGCTGGTTTTCCAGTGGTAGTGAAAAATCGCTCGGCCGGCCAGCCACCATGCGCCACCGGCGGCGAGGCTCTTTTTGGGCGCCGGCCAGCCTTGTAAAGGGCAGGTAGTTGCGGCGGAATCTCAGTAGTAACTCGTTTGCCTCAAAATTTGTTCAGCACATTAATAGACACTTGTGATCTAGTAACCTAAATTGAAAGTCACAATCTTTTTTTCTCTCGAGAAGTTGTATTTTTAAAACTCATCTGAGTGGCTGAAAGGCTTTACTGGCAACATTAAAGACGTGACGTGTATATATATATATATATACTATAAGCGTGTTTAGCTTCCAGGTTAGCGCATGCATGCTACCGCCCGTTATAGAGGGTACAGCCGTTGGCATCCATCCATCCATATTGTAATCTGGGGGCAGTACAGCTTGTTCCCGACGGGTTACATAGTTCGACTGTTTCTGGCGTAACATTCATTTGCCGCATTGTCAATATCTGTTTTTAATTTAGTTACAATAAATAGCATGCCGGGAGGAGTTAACCCGGAGTATTCCGAAAATATGTCTACTTTTAATAACTAAAACAAAAACGCCAGAAAAAAAAAAATCTTTCATTTGAACCGAAAGGTGTCGGTAACGGCGGCGTTTTCGACGACGACCTCATTTTGAGCTGCCACCAAAGCGAGTCAAAATGGGGTAAAGGTCGAGTCGGACTCTGTTGGTAACCGACACGGCAGCTCGTCGCCTCGGTTTACGGCGGACAGTGGACTTGAGTGTGCGGGATGCCGTGTTCGACATCTCTTACAGGGATGCTGAACCGAAATTTGGATTTCGCAAAATAAGGCTGGAGAAGCGTTGAAGGAGACGCTACGAACTCCAAAACATCACTCACACATCGATGTCTCAAACGGATAGCCGTGTTTTTTTTTTTTTTTTTTAAAGAAGAGCGCGATCAAGCGAGGAATGTGACGTCATGATTTTTTTTCAAACAGTTGAGAATGATGGGAAGCGGCCTCGCTTCTCTCCTCCTCGCTTCGGTTCACCTGCTCGAGGGGACGAAGCGAAGAGGAGAGGGAATGAGAATCGTGTTGTCACGGAAGGGTGAATGGTTTTTTATGGTATAGTCTTCGATTAATGCGCTTCGCACGTTAAGCAGCTGCGGCGGAGTAAAATACTAATTATATTGCTAGTGTCTTTGCGGCTAGTGATTTCGCGACCGCTCGGGGATAAGCTGATGTGCATGACGTGTGCATGACGTGTCGGGGGGATGCGCATAACTTGTCGGGGGGGAAATAAATGCGGAAAAGCCCACCCGACATGCACACGTACGCACTCCAATTTACATGATGTCACGCGATGGTGACACGGTGTGGGCGAGGCGCGCAAACAGGTCTAGGAGACGACAGGATTTCCTCGAAGACCAAAATGTAATAGGAAGGCGCGAATGAAAAAAAAAAAAAAAAAAAATATATATATACATATATATGTAAGGACTGAACGGGAAGCCACGCGAGTTGAAATTTTGGGCGTTGGTGCCACTTGCGATCTGCCCAAAGTCGCACTTCCTGCCCTCACCTAAGGAAACATTGTGGTCGTCTCTCCGGGGCGTGGTGGCATGCCCCCAGCGCAACAGCGGCATCGAAAAACGAAATTCCGTGAAGCGTATAGAGAAATAAATCTAAGCGTGAAACGTCATCCAGTGTACTGGATAAGCCGCTGTAGCTCGACCCCTACAAACACAGAAAAGGGAGCGATGTGTATGTTTCAGCAGCTTATCCACATTTCGGAGGATGAGCGTAAAAAACATCGTTAAGCGGCAAAAAAAAAAAAAAAAAGTTAAATAACTTTGTTGACCTGTTTCTTGATCTATCCTGAAATCTAACGAACGTTCGTCTGTTGAGGAGAGGAAAAGTTCTCAGACGGTCTCTGGTGTCCCTGATAAAAGCGTCATGCGCGGTGCCAGCAGTAATATATTGTTCAGTGTTCATCGGCGTGGTTGACTGGACGCTCGGC